CACCCCACCCCATACAAAAAAATCGAAAAAAAACCAAACCCACCGTAACCCCACCCCACCCACCCCCACGAAACCCAACATCCTCGAAACCCCCCAACTCACTCTAATTGCTCACCCACCATAAAACTCCCTCCCTCCCTCGAAAAATCCTCCCTCCCCACCCACCCGAACCCAGTCTAACCGCCGCCGCACCCACCCTAACTCGGCCCCCTCCGTTGCCCACAACTTGAAAAAAAATTAAAAAGAAAAACAGAAAATAAAAAAAGGAAGAACGAAAACACCTTATATATTAATCCTGAATTTGGCCTCGAATTTGGTTTTAAAAGGCCAAATTCGATCATGAAACAACTAGATCTAGAGTTTCGTGGTCGAATTTGACCATAAAAACTGTCGTGCGTGGTGCCGGTGGACGGAGACGGAGAAACGAGATGGAAGAAAGGAGAACATAGACGGAAGAAGGGAGAAGAAGGAAGAAGAAGAAAGGAAGAAGGAAGAGGAGATGAGAGAGGAAACAAGAGAGCAGCGAGCATATTAGCAGCCATGGCTTCAAAAAATTGATAATATTACAGAAGAGGATTAAGAAAACGAGAGAGAAATAAAAAAGAGTACTAAAGAGACGATGGTAAGAGTGATCTGATTGGTGGAAAAGAAAACACACGGATCGTGAATTGGAATGTGTGCGATGATAGGCCGTTAGATGACATGCAAATCAATGGCTGATATTTAATATAAGACGGTGACATGGATCATGGGATAATGGATTTGGATAGTATGTTTTTTTTATTCATAGCTACGTACTAATAAAAACACTACTGTACTCTTAACTTTATGTAACTTATAAATTGTAAGAAACACAAATGTTTGGAAATTGGAATTGATTCAATATGACATATTTAATGTATATTAGTTATATGTATATCAGTATATGTAATAAATAATAATGTATGGTACGATTGGTATCATACTATCATTAGTATGTATAGATAATCGATAAATATATCTGATTATTAAAATTTAAAACAGTTGATGATCGATCTAATTGAATACTTCTACTTCCCCACCCGTTTTCTTTAACTTGCAAGTTGCAACATATATATGTTGCAGCCTTGTAGGCACGTAATCTTAAAAGGTGATTAGAGAGGGTAAGACAACAAAGTAATTCAGCAATATAACTTTAACACCAAAATTATGGAATAGTTACAAACAATTGTCAATTATTACTTTATTAGACTAATGGAAAATTGAATAATCGTGATTTTAATTAAACATCCAAATATAGTTCCGTAACATTAAATTATTAGTTTATTACAATATCAATTATCGATTTATCGTATTCAAAGTACCAATTCATCAAATCATGGTTATGACGCGATCTTTAAAACAATTAAAACAAGAAGCTGATAGCCTGATAATATTTGATAATGAAACAATAATACATTAATACCTTATAAATTTGTAATAGACTAATATTTAATAAACAACAACAAGACTATAACCAAATTTGAAACATAACACATTAACATGATATAGAATGAATGAGAATTTCTGTAATTCTATATAATCTGATATCTGAATCGATTTATCGTATTCAAAGTAGCAACTCATCAAAACATGGTCATGACACGATATCTAAAACAATCCAACAAGAAGCTGATAACCTAATAATATATATTTAATAATGAAACAATAATACATTAATACATTATAAATCTGTAATAGACTAATATGATAATATCGAATAAACAACAACAAGAGTATAACCAAACTTGAAACATAACATATTAACATGATATAGAATAATTGAATAAATGAAGATTTTGTAATTGTATATAATCCGATGTCTGAAAATAAAGTGACGAAGTCTCAACTTTATATAAAACGAAAATAGCTAACCGGTCAAAAATCTCTTAAAACCCAATTTCTACTCGATCCATTATTTTTTTCACCAACCTATGCCGACCCGCTAATGAAATGGAAATACTAGTCCCAACTTGATATAAAACAAAACGCGCTAACTGGTCAAAACCACTTTTTAGAACTCGATTTCAACCCGATCCAATTTAACCGATTACCAAACTAACCCGAACGATTTTAGCACCAAACCGAGTATAAACCGAACCGATATGAATCGAACTAGCATTAACCCGGGTAAACCCGCCCCTGAACCGACCTATTTCAAAATAATCCGTTCATGACCCGAACCGATATGAACCCGGACCGACGTTGACCCGGTAAAACCGCCCCTGAACCGATCCGTTTCAAACCGGTCAGATCATGACCCGAACCGTTTATAAACCGAACGGGCATTGACCCGGGTAAACCCGCCCCTGAACCGACCTGTTTCAAACCGACCCGATTATTAACCGAACCGTTTAAAAACCGAACCGGCATTGACCCGAGTAAATCCGCCCCTGAAGCGACCTGTTTCTAACCGATATGATTATGACTTGAACTGTTTATAAACCGAACCGTTTATGACCCGAACCGAATTTAAATCGTACAAAAATAAACCGAAACCGAACCGACCTGTGACTAATCAAAACCGAACTGAACCGACCCGCCGTCTAAATGAAACCGTTTTAACCCGAACCATTTCAAACCGAAACCGTTTCAAACTGAGGTCAAACCGAACTGCCAGACCGAAGTCCCACCCCTAGTGCTTCTTAATTATATGTAACTTTATGTGCCTTTCGAAAAGATTGAGAGCTATGAAGAATATATACACTACTAAGCTCTTGCTTTGGCTCGATTTGACGTTTTTGTGTTACATATTGATCCAACCTTTGGAGATTATTGGACAATATGATAACGACTAATTTGTCAAAATATAGAAGGGCACATGCCGTTTCCCTTTTTCGGGGGGTTTAACTAAAAAAAACAAATCATCAAACTAGGTATTAATAACTAAATACGACGTATAGAACATCAAATGTCTCGATGATTCAGTCTCTCAAAACTAATTACGACTTTATGAACTGCATGCAAAACGTAAATTAACGAAAATAGGTGTACATCATTTTTTATGATATCAATCTCAAACAAGGGTTGATTATGAAGTACACATTGGCAGAAGTAGTACAGATAATAATGTTATTGCATATATACCGTGGCGTTAGAACGACTAACTTATAGTATAAAGACAAGATTTGGAAATTGCTCAAGATATTACTACGACTATAAATTATTGAAGAGTCCACTATCATCTGTCCACCAATTCTGAGCTCAAACATTAGATCAATTGTGGAGTAAATTTATTGTCAATTAGCTGTTAATCACAATTGGGTTTACGAGTAATGGGGTTGCTGCGGCTACTCAAATATTCAATACTCGCTCCTCGTGGAAGAATTAGTTATACCAACTTCTTTAGCTAGATAATTGGCGTGCTTAAAAACTTAAAATTAATAGGAAAAAAAATTTGTAGTGAAGGTGTCAAAAACTATAGTCTAGAGACTAAAGACAAATTAAATCAATAACTAGGTTTATCACATATGTGAATGTCACTTGCTTGTCTTAAACACCGGAATGATAACATCTTGCAAAGTCTAACATTGAAGTTGCTTAATACTTTTCCGACACTTTCAAGAAATGAATCTCATTGAAAAAAAATATAAATCTACGAAAAGTACGTGTTCTGCAAATAAATTCTACATCTAATTAAATATTTATACGCAGTAGTATGAAATTATGTTAAAAATTAATATCGACGCAGAAATAAGCGTGATTGTGTTACTTTTTGGGTGCAAGTAATTACAATTGGAACAAAATTAAAGCTAGAATAACAAGCGAGTTAGAAGCCATATATGATATTCATGATACTCATAAAATTCACAGCTCGATGGAATTTGGAACTAAAGACATCCATTCATCCATCCATTATTCCATTTTAAAAGAATTGATGAACAAAGCATGTGATTCAAATAATTGAGTGTGAATCTTGTAAATATCACATTGACTACAGTACATGAGGACATGAGGTAATACCGTTATAGTAGTGGGTAGAAATAGACCAAATTTAAAGCCATCATTAATCAAGCACAAAAAGAGTGCTATGAAAAAGACTATGAATGAATTCCATAAGGGAATACATACAAGTCAGAAAAAGAACCATTTTCTCATTTATAACTTAGCCAAAAAAAGGGTATGAAAATTTAATCAAAGTCATTTTCACTGCCTCAACATACATGCAGTATATATATTTTTTTCCATTAGCCCATAACAGAGTGACCATACCACTGGAATTTAATTGAGTGCTTGTTTATGCCATCAAAAGGGCTTTTATGTTTCACTGAAATAATGGTTGAATTTGTATATGTGATATGTATGTCCCACTTCACACCATTTTTTCACTGTGCCAGTCAATGGACCTTAGCTTGCATAGTTGCAGAGTATATCAGTTTATGCATGTGCTAAATTACAAATATGAGAATACACTTGATCATGATTGAATCTTTTGTTCTTTGCTTTGTTGTTCTTTATTTCCTTACATGAGTTACACCACCATGACACTTGTTCAGATCTAAGGATTCAAGGACGAAAACAGTTTTCTCATTTAAATATTTTCTTATCTGAACTTATAATGCGTAGTATGAGTATGTATAATATATTGTGCTACTCACCTACTCCTATATTGGTTTTCCAAGGCCCATAACGATTATACGGGGTATTTCATTATAAAATAATTTAACAATCTCATTTGTGAATAAGCATCGAGTTTATAACTAGCCAGCTCAAAATATTTTGAATGGTTCTAATGTCCCGTGTTACGTTAATTATTCCTATAGAATTTAATGTTTAGTTTTCACTTAATTATTTCATCTAATAAAACTCCACGGGAAGCACTTTAGGGCAAGAAGTCCATTATCCTTTCAATCCAAGAGATATCAATTCAATAAGGTTTATTTTATTTTACAGGGTGATTATTTGGAATTCAAGAAATTCATAAACAGAAAGCCAAATAATTCAATTGCCCAGTTGGATGTTATGCACTAAAACCCAAAAAGAAAATTCTTTTTAATGAAAGCACACATCACCTACCTTAATCAGCAAAAAAAAACCAAAAAGTAGTACCAATAAATTGAATTTAGGAGAGGTTAAAATCAAATTGCCTTTTTGTAGCTTAACCAAGAAGAAATAATAATTTTGTCAAAAAAAAGAAGAAATAATAATACATTAAAACAATGATACGTATACGATCCATTCAAAAAAAAAAAAATGATACGTATACGAAATAGAAGCCCAAAAAAAAGTCAGCTTTTCACATGATCTCCGAATCCATAGGCCCAAACCTTCCGCAAGTTTCATAACCCACATTAATACGTAAAGTACCATTCATTTTATTCACCGCCCATAAAATTTCTCATCCTATGTTCGTTTTTTTAACCCACAATTTAAGCCCATTTTCTCTCTCCTCTCTTTCTCTCTCTTTTTCTGCCGTCGATTTACCAGATCTCTTTCGCCGATTATCGTCTCCGATCGCCGATTTTTTGGTATTTTATTCATCATTCTTATCTCTTGATTTTCATGTTTGTTGATTATTTTAGGTTTTTTTAATCCATTTTATTTTCTTTTTTCTGTTGATTTTATCATCGTTTTCGAATATTTTTGTATTCGACGTGATTGATTTTTAATTAGGTTTTTGGTTAATTTTGAACTGATGATTTATTTTGATTTGTTTAATCGTTTTTGATTATTATTTTGAGTGATTTATGTCAGCTTGATTAAATTCTGATCAATTTCGTCCGTACTTTTATTTTGATGCTGTTTGATTGCTGCCGCATGGAATTATATATAGTTATTTACTCGCTACTTGTAATTGTTTCATAATTTAATTGATTCATAATGCAATCTTTGTTTTATTTTTGTTGAATTTTAAATGTGAAAAGTAGAAGCGGCTATTGGTGTGATTATATATTGTACTTGTGGACCTAATCGGCGAGCCTAATAGTTGAATTGGTAATTTTTATTAATTGAATGCGTAGTTTTATATTATGAAGCATATCGTTTGTATTCGATAAGTTCTTCCTGTGAAAATTTTTGCTACATATGCAAGGTTTTAGAAGTAGCATATGAAGTTTGATCGCTGTGGCAGATGATAACGTCATATGTAAGGTTTACGGATTAGGTTATTAAGTTTGATCACTATGGTGGATAATAATATTTGGTTACGCCTTTCTGATTTCTATTCCTAAGAGAAGTAAAATGTCATGTACTATGAGAATGTTAGGTGTGATCTCACTTCGATTGTGGTTGGTAAACTATAAAGTTTTTATCTTTGATTGAAGCTGTTGCTTCATAGGGCGGTTCAAAGGAAAAGGTGAATTTTTAACCCCTATGGGATAAGTAGCTGTTGCTGGAGATTTAAAATGGTTGAGATAGGGAAGGAATGTAATCAGGACGCTGTAATGTGGGAAAAAATAGACTTCCCGGTTTATTCTGCTGAGGATTTGGTTTTGGCAAGGTTTAATACTTAAGTGTTGAAGAAGGATTTTGTCTTAGATACTACATACTGTATGTTTTCTAGAGTTCTAGATTCCTCCCTCTACCCCCTCTATTTCAGTTAAATCACCATTCTTCATTTATTGAAGTTATAATGGTTTTCTTTATGTTTTTAATTCTGGTCACTGATCTGTTCGGGAAATTCTTGAGTGTTCATCATGTTTAATCACCAAAGTTTTTATTATCATTGTTGAAACACCATATATGTTTAAGTTAAGCTGTACAATTTTGGAAACTAGATTATAAAAAATGTGCATCAATGGGAGTAGATAGAGGGGGGTGGGGTAGCTTGTAATTGATCAAAGTCCTTCGTTGAGTTGTGATTTCTTGCATAGTTCATTTGGATGGAGAGTGAAATATATGAGAGTCAATTTGATGTATCATCGTTTCCTTCATTGGTGTTTTATCTGTCAAAAGAGAAAGAGAGGAATGAGGGAGAGAGGGGGCTTTTTATTTTTTATTTTTTTATTGTGATTTAGACAATCATAATTTTTGGGGAAGAATAGTGTTTGGCAATTACCAAAAACAAAAAACATACAAGTATACACAAGTGTATTCACTAAATAGTAATACTTGTTCCGTGTTTGGTAATTACTAAATATTATACTGAGTAATAGTAATTGCCAAGAAGCAGGGATTAAGCGTTCATCCAAAAGATGTCAAACTTGATCACTTTGTCTATTTTTTGATAACTTAAATTTATCTTTAAAATGAAATTTATGAGTTTACTTATTTATCTGAAGTAGGAAGAATTTAATGGTGAAGATTACTCAAATCATTGGTCAAGATCTAAACATTACAATGGTGGTCTTGTAAGAAAGCCATTGTTGACTCCTTGGTTTAAATTCATGTGTTGCATGGCCATATGCCATATCATAAGATGCTACTTCGTGAATTTTTTGTGTCTCTATATTCTATAGTTATGATTGTGCTTTTTAATTCTCAGATTATGGATATGAAAGGTTTGCTTGTGGCTTAAATATTCTCCTGAAAAATTAGGTGCTCCTCATTATCCACTGTGTATTCGGCCTAGTAAAAGACACAACTATTTTGGTTGAATTATAGTGGACCCAAATTTGTTTGGGATTGGGACAGTTTGACACATACCAAAAGGGCAAAAAATAAATTACATAAGTGACTATTATTTTGTAATAAATAATTAGTTGATATGCCATTTAAATTTGATAAGTTCTGTAGCTGCATGTTAGAAGGGGAAAGTAATGGGAACATGTGAAGATAACTCCAATAAGCAAAGGATTTGTGAAGAATGCAATTGAATCCATGTATTTTTCTTGTATTTAGGTTCTTTTATAACTTCCCAAAAATGTTGATTTTTTCTATGTTCTAATGATAGACGCATGCTTGTTGTGGATTTCCTAGAAATATATTTTTGCCTGCAATTTCTTACTTTGCATGCTCTCATGGCTTTTGTGATGGTTAAGTTATCCCTAATTTGCAATTATAATTTAACTTTGTGAAACTTATATTGGGCCTGTTTGAGTTATATGTCGCTTAAGGAAACATTAGATAGGGAATTTCTGAAATTTCTGAAATTTCTGAAATTCATGCCTAACTTATCCTTCATAGTATTTGTGTGTGTGCAAATTTGATGGAGTATGACCTCTGCTATCATTGACTACTTATGCAGGTTTTTGGTTGATCTAACATACAAAGATGACTACTGATGAGCAAGATCAAGATGTCATCCGGTGGGGTTTGAATCTTCTTGATTTTGGACCTCTGTTCAATAGTACATATGGTGGGGATTATAATACAGAAGATGGGAGCAGTTATCATCAACAATATATGAGAGAGTACAATTATGATACAGCGTGTAATTCCCACTGTAACTATGTAGAAAGTGATGCTATACTTGCGCATAGTCTACAAGAAGAATTCTCACGATTAGAAGTTGATAATGCAGCTCAATCTTCGCATGCAGAACAGCAGCAGTTTCATTCATCCAATGTTTCATCAGACTGGCTTATACCATCTTCTGCCAATTACTGTCCTGGTATTTATAATTGATTATAGAGTGACTCTTCTCCTTGTTCTTCTTCCATTATCATGTGCATATTCTTATTGTGCTTTTCACAAAAAAAAAAAAAAAAAAATCTCAAATTGCAGTTCTTGAGAATACCCAGGAGGCAGATGATACAGGACACTCAAGTTCATGTTCCAGCCCAGGAGAAAGGTCCAATGATGGTGAAGATTATTCGTATTCTCTGGAATTTGCAGACGAGTCTGCACTTGATGGAGAACTGGGGAAGAGGTTAAATCAAATGATCCCTGTGCCAGTAAGTAATCCTTGGGTCTAGAATTCTTTCACATATTTCTTGCTCACCTGTGTTCATATGTCCCATAGTTGATTATCTTCTTGTTCTGAGGTTTGCACCTTCTGTCTACATTATTTTTCCATCCACATTCTTCTCTGGAGTAGCGAATAGGAGTTATTTGTGTTTTTGTCCTATAAATCAGTAATGACACTGCCTTGAATCTTGTAGCTGTTGTTGACGTAGAGTGAGTCGTGCTTTTTTCTTTGTCTGTTTGAATAATATTTTTATTGGTATCATTTAAGTCCATGGAGAATTGTGTTTTCTGCTGTAAGCCTGGAGCTTATCTAGTCACTATAAGAAAATTGCATCTGTTTGGTTTGGTTTGGTTTGGGGTCTTTTATTTTTTTTCTTTTCTTCTCCTGTGAACTTATTCATAGTCTATAATTATTAAGTTTTTTTTTGTTGTAGTAGTAGCCTAGTAGGTGGGGGGGGGGGGGGGGGGGGGGGGGAGGCTGCATACTGCTGATCTCCCATATTGTATCCAAAGCAGCACGGGCCTCTTTGGCGGCATTGGAGTAATGTGATTGTTTGAAACTTTTTCCTTTTCTATTAAATCAGTGGTGTTTTCATGGTCTCCTGCTATATTTAGTTAGTGGAAGTCAATATTATGATCAAGTATTCTTATGGGCTTGTATATCCTTGGTCAAGCTATATAAGGGAACCATTCAAGTGAAGAATATTTTTGCCTATGCAGCATGTCCCTCGAATTAATGGGGAAATACCTTCAATGGATGAAGCAACTTCAGATCATCAAAGACTACTAGATAGGTATGGATATATCTGTAGAGTTTTTCGTTTTCTTTCTTCGTTATTTTTTTTTGGTTGTTTGGGGGGGGGGGGGGGGAGGGGGTTTATCAAAGTGTACTGCAATTCATCTTTTGTTTTTTGTTGCCTTTAGAGTTTTTTCACATAATTTATGTAATATAGTACTTGGTGCTGGGACTGTTTTTACAGTGGCTGTACGGTGCCACTTTGGAGGAATATAATTTGTTATGTTGCCTATTATTGGTGGTTCTTGTCAGTAATTACAATCCAATTGTCACTGTTATGGCTTTGATAACAGAGGCACTTTTGATCAGATTGCAGTTGTATGATTTGGTTGAGCGCAAGGTCCAGGGGGATGGCAATTGCCAGGTCAGTTGTTTGGCCTTGATACTTATTCAGCTCTTGTTAGGTCCTGCCCCAGCTGAAAATTTCAATAACTTTGCTGTGTTTTTTTTTAATTGTCAAATATTTTTATTTGATTCCGTAACTGTTATCATTTTAATGTATATATCTTAAATTCAGTATGGTCAAAACCTGCTAATATTTAGAATAAAACTTTAAATTCAAATCTGCATATGCTCACATTGGTAGTTTAGGAAGTACTGCCTGCAAGTTTCATCAGAATCATCACTACACTCTAGACTTTGACTATGTTACCGTCGCATCACTAACAACTGATAATCATTTCAACCTTTAATGCACCTTTTCAGTTTCGTGCTTTGTCAGATCAATTCTATCGCACCCCAGAGCACCACAAGTTTGTGAGGCAACAGGTTGTCACTCAGGTGGGTTTCCTGAGAAATTGAAATATGAATCGTTTTACTTGAGCTTTCCTATCTGGCTGGTTTTACCGTTCCATTGGTACTTTGGTAGTGTAATTTCTTATTTGCTCAACTGTTGGATATTTCAGCTCAAGTCAGATTCAGAGGTTTACGAGGGATATGTGCCCATGGAGTATGGTGAATACTTAAACAAGATGTCAAAGTACAGTTTGCTTAACTTCTTTTTCAAATCCTTAGTGCTGTTTGAAGAACTATTTTATGATTTTTGTAAAATGTCAGAAGGATTCCGGTCATGTGCTTATAGGGATTTTTTTCACTCTTTTGGGATATGGTGGTCCACCAAGGTTTACGGTTTTCCTTATATTAGTAGTGTGCTATACCTTATTTTCAAAAAACGCTTTTATTATCATCTCTTTCACAAACTTGATTCATTTTATTCAGGTTCCTTACTATTGGGTTCTGTTTCGCTAAGTTGTTTTTCCCCTTATGTTGGCTGTTTTCAATCCTTTTTATTTTTTTATTCATTTTGTTTGACAAAAGATTGTTCGAGGGTAGTCTGTATATCTGAAATTGGGAAATTATTTATGTTATATTTGCCTTACTTATTTTATTTTAAATATATGAAAATAGGAGTGGTGAATGGGGAGATCATGTCACCTTGCAGGCAGCTGCTGACTCGGTACTTCTCTACCCTTTCAATTTTTTTTTCAAAAATGTTGGATTCTCCAAATGAGCAACATGGTACTTGTTTTAGAAGTTGGAGACCCATTTTTTTAATCTTGGTTTCATCGAGTTCTCAAAGTTGTTGAATCAAAATTTTGTATATACATAGTAGTAGTGCTGTATTTTTATTATTGTTAAAATTGAATCCTTACTCAAAATCATGCACATGCTAGCCTGTTCCAATTTAGAAAACAGGTCTTGCAGATTGTCGGTTATAATTCTGAGTGTGGTCTATAGATTAAAAAAGTTACTTTAGGAACTTTTCTGTTGTCACCATGACACCTCCTTGCTGCTGACACATCACAACTTTAGAGAAATTTAGTTCACTACTTCCTTATATCATGGATCACAGGTTAGATTTACGCCAGTCTTATTTTTGAACTTTTCTTTTGGTGCCAGTTAGCCTGTATAGCTCTGGAATGAGGCTCTGCTGTTGAATGATGAAGTATTCACATCCACTAAAATTATAAAATATCATGTCCATGCATATGTTTTGTTGAACTGTCTACTTGACCCATTTTTGTGGTACTGGAATATTTTTCCTTACTGATATATTGGAGTCTATTCTTGCAGTATGGTGTTAAGATATTCCTCATTACTTCTTTCAAGGACACCTGTTATATGGAGATTATTCCAAAGGTTCAGAAGTCAAAGCGAGGTGAGCTGTTGGGGGTGTATTGAGTACATGCTAACATCATCTTATTGTTCTCTAAAAAAATTTACATACCTCTATGTATTCAGAAGTCAAGGGTATTTTCTACTCATTTACGATTTTTTGCTCATTTTTATATTTTAAAATGAGCTAAATAAATATCAAATGAGCAAACAAAACCACCATTGGGTGCACCTACCTCTATGTGCACTCGAGTGTATATAAAAGGTGGTGATTATTCTCTGCATTACCTTTTTTTTTTTTCCCTTCTCTTTATGTGCTCATTGTGTATATACCTTATTAATTCACATTATTTTTATTGGGTGTCAGATCTTTTGGGCTGTGGCTCTGTTACTAATTAGTACTATTGGATTGTTGAAATTTTTTGAATAAGGAAGTTCTCAATGGGTATTCGATTTTTATTCCTAAACTGATGTTACAGAATTTTTAACAATTTTATTTTCTAAATTTTTTCAAACTAATGGGTTTCCAGTTAAAAAAAGATAAAAATTATCTTGACTCCATCTGCTTGCTGATGTTGTTTAGTGTGTTGTTTTTGTCCTACCTTTTGAAACTGTTACAATTAATAATTATCTTTAGGAAATCTTGTTTATAACCTTATATTCATTATATTGCTCAGTTTCTGCTCATGATATATCTTGTTTATCTTTTTTTTCTGGGTTGTTTTTTGTTTGGGATGCAGTCATCTTTCTGAGCTTTTGGGCAGAAGTGCACTACAATTCAATCTATCCGCAAGGAGGTAAATTCAGCTCTTCATTACCCTTTACTAATCATTGTTTAGTGTGCATCATGGCCTTGCATTGTTGCTGCTGCTGACGTCTGTGTACTATAGAAAAGTGGGTGTGAGAGCACTTTAGTCTACGAAATTTATAGTTGTTGTTTAACCCACGTTATTCGTAAATATTGTGGGTTGGTTGTGGGGGTGGGGAGGGATTGGCAGTGGGGTTGTGGAGAGGATGGGAGGGGATTTGAGACATCAAATCAAATTTAATGGAAGAGTGGTAGTTGGATGATAAGAAACACACTATTTTACAGTAATTTGTTTTATGTAGACGAGGAAATGCAATGAATTGGAGTGTCCATTCAATATCTCTTGGTTGTTTATGAGACTAAAGATCAAGGTGAACTCTCTTTCTTAGAATCATCTACAAATTCCTTTGTGTTTTATATCCTCCAATTGTGAAGTGAAGGTCCATTATTGTCATTATGTGAGTGTTGGGTTACAAGGGACAGATTAATGACTGTATTAGTGAGCAAAATAAGGCTAAACAGGAGAGTTTGCAAGGCAGCTATGCTCTTATAGTTGTAACGACAAGACTTTTTATAGGGTCAAAACCAATATTCCTTCCGTAATCCCCCACGGATCTTGATATATGCTTTATAAAGCCTGCATGGCTGTGATGAATCCCAGTAGCAGTTGTGTAGCACCTTTACCAAATGGATGGTGATATGTTGGCACCTTTTATGTATGACACCCCACGGGTTAAGACTTCATTACCTGAGATTGGGATTTGTTATGGGAGTTAATTGTTGAGCATCTTAAAATTGTCTGCACCTATTCCTTTATACTCGGGCTTGCTTGGAATTGAACTGATTTGAAAAACATTGAGAAACTAGCTAATTAAGGTGTTGAATACATTATGCAGAGTTGCCGCCGCCCTGGGAGATGAAAAAGAAGAAAAGATGGTGGCTTTTCAGAAACAATTGAGGAGGCCGGTTATATATTGATGCTTTTTAATACTTCTAATTTATCTGTATATATGGGTCTAGAGCAGCAATGCAAGCATCGCATTTTATTAATAATCTCTTATTCTTTCTTTGTATTTCTCTGTTTGCGGCCCTGGAGAATATTGTGCAGGTGATGGGAATTAGCTTGGAACATAAACATAATCATAAACATATATATAAAGGCTGGCATGCTTTTTGATTTCGCATGCCATTTCGGTTTCATTTTCTACACTATCTCCTGCTCCTATTCCTCTTTTCTTTTCGTAGTAATAAACTTTCGAAGTAGTATGAGGGAGTACATATCAAAGTGATGTCTACAATGACGTTTTTATTTCTACCTCTGTTCTTTCTGGTTCTCGAAGTGCCATTATATCAAAGTGAGTGCTCTACGTTCTTTTAAAAAAAAAGTCACTACCGAATGGTAAAGGGACACTCCGTAAAAACCAAACTACTGAATGGTATAGGGACAAGATCATTCACTAGGTTAATATCCGTAAGACCGTAATATGTTACATAGAAAGGCATGTGGAAAACTCTTGCCTCCAAAAAAATAAAATAAATAAATAATGTGGAACTTTTTTTTTTTTTTTTTTTACATCACGCACACTGCAATTTCTTCTTTTACAGAGTATTTTTTCTCGGAATGCCAGGTTACTCATTTTGAGTAACCAAATTGTGTTTACTTAAATGACATTCATGTAAATACTTGCCCTGATATTCGTGCAATATTATTTTTTAAATGAGCTAAGGTGGATCAGTTCTAAATGGTGTAAACGACTATTTATTGATGTCTTGTTGACGGAGCTCCACCTCCATTTTTTTCACATCCAAAACCACGACTCAATCACATCAAAGTAGTGTGTATATTAATTAACTTTTTTTTTAGATCTTTTTTTTATTTTTGTAAAATAACTAATTATATTGAAAGATTGATATTAATTTTTAAAAATTACCATGCATGGCACGGGATCTAAACTAGTTTCGTATATGCTTTACTCATAAAATGCTTAAATATGCTATACACCCTGTGATCTTCTCTTGAAATCAATTTATGGCTTTGTGAAATACTCTTTTATGCATGACCTGCATAGTTTCTTGTAGATAGCAGCTTTAGGAATGACTGTAGCCCAGGTTTAGGAACAACTTTGCCTATTTAAAGTAGCCATTTACAGCTTTGTTATCTCTATGCAAGCATACGATATTCCGTACAAATTTGCATGCGCATGCTACTCTGGTACTTGAATTTTGCATAATACAGACAATATAGTACATCAACCCCAAGTTTAAAGCTGTTACTATCACAATATATATTTGTAACCTGATTATAACGGTAACCTCATTTATCACTATGATTTACATAACCATGTTTAGTTTTCCATTTAATCTAGATTCCACACTTATTGTAACTTATGCCTTGTTTCCGCTATGAACTTATTCCTTGCTTCTGTGCAAATCTCAGAATTACAAATTACTTAAAAACCTACACTATGAAGCTTGAACCAGTATATCTTGATGAACTTACTACTCAAAGCAAAGACTATACTGGAAAATATGAATTTTCTAAAGCACCCATCTCAGTTACAGAAAGCCAATACAAGTTCAATCCAGAGGAACTTCCTAATCAGATGACTATTGGACAACAAACAATCTTGCAGCGGTTGAATCCAGAAATTGGTCCTATTCTGCCTAAATACCAGCCTTTGGCAAACCATTCCAAGAGCAGCTGATCCAGATAGTAGATATGGTATACTTCTATTTTTTCCTTCTGATAATTCCCAACTAATTTGTTTTTTGATTAAAATATACTCAATGTAACATTTTCTCTTAATTCTATAGATGTTGTAGTAGTGCTCTTTGTAGAGGAGCAAGCACGATTGATTCAGAATTCACGTGGTCGTGAAAGTCCTGTGCGTGAAGTTGTTATTACGTACTGACCCAAGGTGAATTTCCTAAATCAATTAATACAATTCGAACTTACTTGCTTATACAAGGACAATTCAGTAATATTTGTCTTTACATTTCCTTTGTAAAATAGCCAAGACCAATCCATTACAGTCTCAACATGGAATGACCTTACTGCCAATGATTGTAATGCTATGAGTAACTGGGCTGAGAAGTTCAATGTTGTGGGATTCACTGCACTTAAGGCTTTGACTGCTAGAGGTAATTTAAAATATCAAACTTGTGCATAATATATAGTATACCATGCAGTACTAATTATGATCTTCATGTAGGCTTTACTCTGACTACTACTATGTCCACTCGGATCATACATGAACCAGAAGGAGATAGGGCAGACATACTTCGTGAATGGTTATTAGTTTATACAATATATTACCAAATAGCATTGGTTAAATTTCCAGAAGTTACTTATCTCTTGCCCGATCTATGTTGCAGGGTGAAGTTATATCCACAGGTCTTACAGGATGGGCAAGCAAGAGTTTTAAACATCAGATATCCAAGTCCTGAGAAAACAATTGTCTCTATAGCAGACCTTAGGAGCAAGAAGGTCATATCCTTTGACATTCCTTTCAGAAGCATATACATTTTCAAATTCATAGTATATCTTTGCTAATTTTACATAAACTGTAACGTAACTGCAGGCTAAGCATGTCTTGCAAGAAGAAACCGTTTGGATCAAAGCGACAGTTCAAGAACCTGATCTGGACAGAGTTAATGCTTATGTTGGTTGCTATGGTTGTAGCAAACGTACCAATCTTCGTGTGGGTACTCCTTTTCCTTGCAGCATTTGCAAAAAAGGAGATAGCATTTCTGCTCATAGGTACTTTCAGACAGCTTATACATATACTAATTATAATATTTAGCTTGCTAACAACTTAGTATTAACCATGTTTACCAGAGTGACATTCAAGTTTGATGCAACTGATGGTACTGGCACAATGGCATTCACTGCCTTCAATGATGATACAGAAAGACTTTTTAGAAAATCAGCAACTGAAATCTATAACATCAAAAATACTGTAAGTATTTGTTGAGTACAAATGCTGTGAAGTATGCATGTTTCTTTCTTTATACTTAAGTGTGTCTTACTTCTATTTAGGCTCTTCAATACATAGACTCGTGATATTAGTCTGTTTATGAATGATTAGGTTTACAAGATTTGACCTATACATTAACTCACGAATTAAAACCAATGTATACCACTCCATTTACTTATACGGATACTCTTTGTGATGCAGGAAAATCTTACTGCCTTTGAACAAATCTCGAACATAATTTCAACAAAGCCATTCTTCATCAAAGTAGGGCTTACCAATAAACTATCAAGGAACGCTGTTCTTATATGGACTCTGAAGGAAATCGAGATTCAAAATGAGCCTATACAGCCACCTGTTGAAGGCTCATCATCTGGCAGTTCTACACAGCAGCAAGGACTAACACCAACTGAAAAATTGAAGAGGCTTCAACATGAGCTGGATCTGGAAACAAAGGCACATGGCAAGCAGCCTTTGGTTATTGAATCTGAGCCAACTGCTGATTTTGAGTCAAGACCTTAACACACTTGATGATGCTGCATTTGCTGAACTTGCTCAGCTTGAAGAATACAGACTTGCTTCTGAACAAACAGAGGCAGAACATCATTTGCTTGGCCTTTCAGGAAATGAAAAGAAGCTACCTTTTGAATCAGTTAGCTTGGAGGAAATAGCTCCTACATGGTCTCAGCTTTCTCGTAAGCGAACCAGCAGCAAGGGTAAGGAGGTTGCTGCTACTTATACTGGCTCAGGCATACTGCCTGAAGTGCAGGGTACCAGAAAGAAGCTCAAAACAGCTTTGTTCATAGGCAATGATGACATTATGTGAACGTGAACCAGGCCCATCCCTGAGGAAGGGCAGGAGGGGCGGCAGCCCTGGGCCCAGGGAAAAGAGCTCTGATTTCATAGTTGAATCCTAACATTAAAGTGTTGTGCAATACATTAGCAACCAAATTTGATTCAATTATCTCATAATTTTAGGGATATTTGATTCAATTATCTCATAATTTTAGGGATATTTGATATGATGATAACAAATACAAACAACTTACCTCAGAAGCTGCTTCAGTGGGGGATACAAGAACTAGATTCAACGGGGAACGGCAACTGCGCTTCAATAGAGAACGGCAACTGCGCTTCAATGCAGAACGTTGAATGCGCTTCAATAGAGCAATTCAATGGGTTGGACGCCTTGGATCCTATTAAAAGCCATGACCCATGACCCGCCACAGTTATTAATGGGTTAGATCCGTCTCATAAATAAATGGGCTGAGTCTTCATACGATCATCCAATTAAGGAGCAGGACAGACCTTTTAAGGGTTTAGAGTAAACCTTTTTTTAAAAATTACAGAGTATTAGTTTATCTATACACTTCCATTTCTCAAGTACTATCTTCACACACCAAATCTTGTATTATTAATTTTTTTAAAAAAAAAAATAATTTAAAACGGGTGAAATTATATTAATTAAACTGAGTTTACAACAAACGAAAGGAAAGTATGGTAACGTAAGTCAATTACAAGTTATCATGCCGTAAATGTGGTTAGGATGAGTTTTCCTAAAAAAATATGGTAAGGATGACTCTTTTGTCGTGACTTTTATGACAAATTAATTGTGTCATGTGAAGTGTGAACTATGCAATTGTATAGATAATGTTACTTTTGCGGTTTTAACATCAACTGACGGTCACCTACATTTTTATTATAAATACAGTTGCAGACTAGCAAGTGTAGATTTGTATGAGTTAGTTAATTGTATGAGTTGGTTAGTATCTGCATAAAACAGAAAATTATTTGTGAATAACTTTGGAAGTGAAAACTTTAATACTTTATTTTTTTTGAAAAAAAAAACCATCTAGATCAACCGAAGGAATTTCCAAAATGCGACGAGGGATTACATCACTCCACACTCATTGGCCAAACTCCTATGGTTGAAAGTAAGTCAATTTGTGTGCTACATTATTACCCCCTGCTTTACAAAAGACCATGATTCAATAGTAAAATTAGAAGAAAAAAAAATCTAGAATATCCTTTATAATCAGATGAAAGGAACTAGAGTCATACAAACACTTCCTCATTGCCTCAATCACCATCAGATTATCACTCTCGATCCCAATGCAGCTCATACCCTTGTGTCTCCCAATCTTCATGCCCCAAAATACCGCTTTCACCTCTGCAATCTTAGTTTCTCATTTTTCACTCCACTACACCGTAGCTCCCCAAAGCACCACCCTCTCATTATTCCTGCAGACTGCACCCAGCCCAGTCCCCACCTCCCCTAAAACACCAGCATCAACAATAATATTAACCACACCAGATGTTGGAGGAGACCTGCCCACAAAGACACTCTTTCCACCCCTCCATTCCCCATGTTATTTAACTTTCCCACCTTTAATCTTCAAAGCATAGGCAACAATTTGCTCAACATTCGGATTTTCACTCTCAATCATCCATTTGTTCCTTGCGCCCCACATAGCCCAACACATGGTAATTAAACTCACCATATCCTCTCCAAAATTACCAAAAGAGTGAGACAAAACCATAGAATAATTGCACTTACTCCAAATTGCTCGGGCTAAACTACAATCTTTCAACGCATGCATGACAGATTCTTCTTCTCTCTGGCAAACACCACAAACTAGTAGCCAGGGCACAAACTAGCTACAAAAAAAACAATAGCTTTAAAATCTCATGTGGTCAAAAAAAGCTAATTTGCTAATTATCTTACCATTGGAGTTGCTCTAATACTCCATCTGATCCTTTTATTAGATATATTTTGACTTTACACCATAGTGTCCCAACCAGTCCAGCGAACACCCACCCAAACCCTAATTATAACTCTTGAACCCCACTTATTTGGCGAACTCCCACCCAAACCCCAACCCTTACTCTCAAACCACAATTATGTGGCGAACTCCCACCTAGCCCTAACCTAGCCGATCGATCGAACCACACAACTCCCACCCACCCTAGTCAGCACGAACCTGTGATCACCCTGCCCTCCACACCAAACTCGACACCCCAATTTTTTTAAAAAATTATTTACTATAGTTAAAATTAAAAATAATTTTTTATATTTAAAATTAATATTAAGGTATATTTTGTTTTTAATTAAGTCAATTCTTATTTAATTGAGAGTTAATTATAGTATATGTCAATTGATGACTTGTTTGACCGGTCACAAGTCAAATCTAGTACTTAAATTATTTATGGAATATAGACATCAATGTTAGACTTATTTTTTAATTCATTAAAGTTGACTTAATATTGAAAGATCACCTAAAGTTTGACTTATTGTGGTTATTTTTTTCATTATTTTATTATATTAGACTTTCCTTTTACTAATTATCAGTATATGCATTTCTATTTTACACAAATATTTTCCATACGAGAATGCCAAAAAAAGCAAAAAAAGAATGGTGCATTATCTCACCAAGAATCAACATGAATTTTTTTAGTGTGTCATTAAGTATATAGTTATTGAAATATATACTTATGGATTATAGATTGGTTATATTTTATTGATGATTACTAACTATTTATTTAAGTAAATATAAAAATATGATATTTCATTATATTTTTTTCTAACGGATAAATCACAAAAGAAGATCAAAAGAGAAGTGTGAATGAAAATGTCAAAATGGTGCTATTGAAGAAAGGGAAAAAGTATTTAACAAATTATATAAAATTATTTACGTATTAACAAATTACATAACTATTTAACAATTATATAAATAAATGATTTTTTTTAATTATCATTTTGCCCTGGGCCTTCAAAATGTCAAAAACGGCTCTGACGTGAACACAAACTCTTTTAGCTTTATGGAAAAAATATATGTATATCTATGATTTTCATAACCAAAAGACAGGAGGCAGTATGTATATCTATGATTTTCACCTCTATATACAAGTAGCTATTTTTATACAATATAAACTCTATACTAAGAAGAGACGTGGCAAGCTCCTCACTTTGAACCTTTTCCTACAGCAGAGTTAACTATTCACCTTGTTTGTCTTTGCGCGATAATCTAGATAAAATGAGAAGCATAGAAAGAACTCAGAAAATTCTGGAAAACAGCAATGCAGTGAAAATAACAAAGCAAATTTTGTCTTTTCCCTATTTTTATCAAGCTAGTCACTTGCATTATCATCCATTCAAGACAGGAACATCGGCCAGTTCAAGCATCTCATGTACTGCAACGAGAACCATTGCCGGTATATCCTCATTCATTCCCGTCCCAGTTGTTTTGTTGTACCAACTCTATTGCAATTGCTGTTGTCTGAAGTTCTGAACAGAATTAACTTCTAGGGTATGGGCGGCTAACATATTATCATAATGCAATGCCTGTGCCTCCGCGAGTGCAGTCGCTGCTTGCTGTGTTTCTTCCTGAATTATTGTACTTAGCTCTAAAACTCGAACCCGGAGGTGATTACACTGACGTCCCTTTTGACGCTAAATATCAAGATTTGGATTATCATTCTGAGCCTCCTCATGAAAATTTACCAACGCCTGATTATACTCAGCCGTGAGGGCAGCAAGTTGTTGTTCTAAGTGTTGAACAACATTATGTTGTAAAAGCGTATGTTGTAAAGCCACGTATGCAATGATCGATTGGCTTAATTCTTCCTCGTCCATATCTATATTTACTAAGTGAATAGCAGCGGAAGCAATTGATGAACCTAAAGATTCCAGTTAATAACATATAGGCAATGTACAAAAATCATCACAACGAAAAATCATCACAATGTATTTCTATTTTACACAAATATTTTCCATACGAGAATGCCAAAAAAAGCAAAAAAAAAGAATGGTGAATTATCTCACCAAGAATCAACACGAATTTTTTTAGTGTGTCATTAAGTATATAGTTATTGAAATATATACTTATGGATTATAGATTGGTTATTATTTATTGATGATTACTAGTTATTTATTTGAGTAAATATAAAAATATGATATTTCATTACATTTTTTCCTAACGGATAAATCACAAAAGAAGATCAAAAGAGAAATGTGAATGAAAATGTCCAAATGGTGCAATTAAAGAAAGGGAAAAAGAATTCAACAAATTATATAAAATTATTTACGTATTAACAAATTACATAACTATTTAACAATTGTATAAATAAATGATTTTTTTAATAATCATTTTGCCCTGGGCCTCCAAAATGTCAAAAACAGCTCTGGTCTGAACAAAATTAACTTCTAGGGTATGGGCAGCTAACATATTATCATAATGCAATGCCCGTGCCTCCGCGAGTGCAGTAGCTGCTTGCTGTGTTTCTACCTGAATTATTGTAATTAGCTCTAAAACTCGAACCCGGAGGCGATTACACTGACGTCCCTTCTGACGCCAAATATCAAGATTTGGATTATCATTCTGAGCCTCCTCATGAAAATTTACCAACGCCTGATTATACTCTGCCGTGAGGGCAGCAAGTTGTTGTTCTAAGTGTTGAACAACATTCTGTTGTAGAAGCGTATGTTGTAAAGCCACGTATGCAATGATCGATTGGCTTAATTCTTCCTTGTCTATATCTA